GAATAGCTATGAAAATACAGGTATAGTAAATTCTTTATTAATTTATTTATTTTCTGATTTATTTTACTTAATATTTAGTTATATTAAAATTATCAAGTAGTACCTAATTTTAATTCAGAATCTGAAGATTCATTATATTCATCTGATTTGTCTGAAAGTGAACCAGTTGTTACTACTGAGTCCCAACCTAATACACAATCTCTTGATGATCAAGAAAACCAATTAGAAAGTGATCATGAATTAATCATAAAAGAAATACAAACAATTATTTACAACTCACTGTTCGAATATTGGGACTGTCCATCAAAAATTTGCCTTCTCGCTACATTATTGGATCTCTAATTGAAAGAAATAAGCTTTGCAAGTGACGAGATTCATAAGGATATTATTTATGAATATTGGGAATAACTTCACCAATTGACACAATCACAAACTGAAGAACATACCACTTCATTCGGCTCAACTACCTTCTCTCCTAACAGCATGTTTGCAGATGTTATATTTGGCACTCAAAGATCAAGTTCTCTGAATGAATTAGATTATTACCATGATTTTAGATGGACATCTCTGGCTCTTCGTAATTCTGATCCTCTTTTGTGGTGGCAGCAATAACAAACTCAATTTCCAATCCTCTCAAAATTGGCATGAAAATACCTTGGTATTCCTGCTACCTATGTTCCTAGTGAATGTCTTTTTTTAGATGCCAGCAATCATATTACTCCAAAATGCTCCAATTTAAAACCAAAGTTAGTTTCTCGAATATTATTTCTAAAAAGAAATGACAATTTTATTAACATGTTTCCTAGTTCTCACCTATATAAGCAAAAAAAGCAGAATCAAATTGAGAATAGCTTTTTTTGTTCGCTTGATATAGAAAGGAAAAAATAGCGCGTAATAATGATGATCTAAACAACCATTTTATGTTTCGATTTTATGTTTCGATTGATGAACGATTTTATGTTTCGATTGATGAACGCTTAATTCGGTTGACCGGTTGACCCGGTTAACCCGGGTCAACCGAAAAAAACTCGGTTAAACCGGTTGAACTCGGTTGGGACCGGTTCGGTTAACCGGTTAAAGGTTTGGGTACTCGGTTCAAGTCTCTAATCGATACATGATTCCCCGATCACAATTGTCCCAAAATACATGTATCTGTACATGTTCCAATTGTCTAGCTTAAAATTATTGTCATTACCATGTCTACTAAAGAATTAATAAAATGTAGTCCGCACAGAAAATAACTTTTTTCCATATAATTTGCCTCTCTTTAAAGGCTGGTGTAAAAAAAAATACATTTCTATTTCAATATGATGAATCGATCAACTATAAAAATAGTTAGCTAAAATCAACCTAATCCGAATCCCACATTCATCACACCTAAACTCTTTATTTCTACCCAAATTCTTCTTAATATATCCATAATGGCTGCATGTTTTACTCGCATATGCTTCCGACACGGACGTCACAACAACTTTATTAAATTCCTCCATCTTGAATAACAATCGTTGTCTGAACCTAGCATGCGTCCAACTCATCATCTTTTGAACCATCCTATTGTTAAGTCTTCTTCCTCATCAACGTTGTGATATCCATGTACTATCAAAAGATGACCATATTATTATGTTAAAAGTACGAGCCAACCATAATGCAGCTTTTTTATACATCTCATCCACCAGATTTCGAATGCGTCTGCTTACACGAGCTTGGCCTGTTTCATAGAATTGCACTTTTTGGCTGATACTCTGGTGATGTGTGATATAAGAGAGTCTAGAGATAGGCAGAGGTGAATACTATGATTAATATCATTGTCACCAATATTTCCATAGCCAACTGTGGATGAATACCATGTAAAAAAGGTTCTGATATCAGGATTAATGGCTGTAACACGAATTTCTTCCACTTGATTTTCACGGATGGACTTTCCATATACCGTGATTGGCGCTTTTACATTCATGATAAAGTGGTGGATGAGTCAAGCCCTTGTGATGTGAGTGTTCCGGATCAACAGCAAGAAGCATCTTGTTATGTAATAACCGAAGGTAAAAACGAAGTGGCTCCTGGCAGTACTGAGAACGGATAGTGATGGTTTGCTGGTCATTCTTTTGGAAGCATAATGAAAGTATGTTATGAGGACGTTGATTTTCTCTCTCTTAATTTCTTGCAATAACTTTATCTCTTGTCTGCATAGCACTTGAGATGGCGTGATCGAGCACTTCATATGGCACCTTGTTCATAAAAGCCCATTCCTTTGTATTGTGAATTTTCAGCCAAAGAAATGTCCGAAAAAAATTGCTTTGTGATTCCATGACTCTGATGATAATTGGCTACTACCATATTATAAATCTATCTACACAACCCATCCAAGATCTTCTGAGAGGAATTTGGATATACTCGTATTTTCAGCGATCGCGTCAAGTCTGCTTTTTTCATTCACTTGGCTCGTCGTGAGGTTTGTATTTGTTTCTTGCGTTTATTGTTTTTCAAGCTCTTACCTATATCAGGAAAATAAGTGATTTAAGTAGATAAATGATTTTAGGTGTAAGAAAATAGATGCCAGTCAAAATTCTGATGAATAGGATCCCAACGAATATAACAAAATTCTGAAAAATAATCTGAAAACAAAATTCTGAAACAAAATCTCGAAAAAATAATTCTGAAAGAATAAAATCTGACAAACAATTACTATATGAATAATATTTCATTTGTATATTAGAGCAAAGATTAGGGGTAAAGGCTTTATTGGAGTAAGGTTATATTGAACACATGATAACGATAACAACTGGACATGGATAAATTTAATTGACATGTGTATATAAAAACATTTGTCTATAAATGAAAAATTTAAACTAGAAAAGTGACTGCGTATTTTCGCAAGGAATATTTTGTTAACAAAAATTTCAGAATGAAAATTAATATTAGAAAAATGATTGTATATTTCGTAGGGAATATTTTTTAAACAAAGTTTCAGATCTAGTTTTCAGGCTAATATGCTTTCGGGTTTGTATTTGTCAGGATTGAACTTTTGCTTTTTGTTTGGCCAAAGAAGTGCAATAGAAAATGTGCTCAAAAATTCCTAGTTCTTTTCAGAGCTGCTGAAAAATGAAACACTTTTGTCTATTAGTTCTTGGGGAGCAATGCTTAATTAGTATTTTTTCCTCGTCGTCATCGCTACCAGTCTGAAAGTGTTTGTTAAGATTTTGTTTTCGGATTGTGTTCTTTCGGGATTTAATACCGTCAAAGATTGCTGGGATTCTGTTCGATTTTGACCTAAATCCAAATTTATCTCTAGATCGCTTTTCTTTTATTCATCAGATGCAAATGGTGAGAATATTCTGAGATAGCTCCCATTCATCCGTTAGATTGTCATCTGTGAGAACCATGAGCCTTGTACTATTGATGTGGAAGTTGAACTTGATGAAGTCGAAGATGAACTTGTCTATATGGGAAACTACAACCTCCTTGACCAGTCCGCGACTTGATCATTCTAGTAGGAAACACAGTCCGAATCTCTTGAAGTTAATGTCAGAGAAGAAGTGATAGTCTGAAATTATGAGAGTAAATTTCTGACAAGTATGTTTTTAAACTCAAACTATATGCTTATTGCTTTTTGAATTCATCCATGGGAAAGTTGACAGTCTTTTTGTAAAAAATTAGATAGTTTAATATATATATATATATATAATATGAGGATATATCATATTTCAGCCAATTATCCGAGTTAATTAAATGCTTTTGCTTGATCTGACAATAGTTTTATTAAGACTCACTTTATTCTTGTTAAAAGAGCAAAGAAAGTACTAATATTCAGAAGAATAATAATAAATATCTATTTATTTTTGTCTATATATACAGTTTGTGTTAAAATATTTATTGTGATTTGTTTGTTGAATTTCACATAGTTAAGAATTATATAATTAATAATTAACAATAGAAGTGATTTATTATTTATACAAATCATTATATGAGTTCAAGTTTGAGTCCAGTTCAAGTATCAAATCAGACTTGAATTGAATCAGATTTTTTTTTTAGAATATACTAATTACTGAACACTTTATTAATCTAATATATTTGATAGCTTATTAATTTATACTAATTTTTTAATATATATATCTGAATGTATAATAATATATTTTTGATTAATTTCTTATAAATATTCTTAGAAATTATCTTATATTTATTTTAATTTGCAAAAATTTGGAAAGTATTTATTATATTTAAACTAGTTTCTAATATAATATTTTAAAATATTTTATATACTTAATTCAATTATAATTTAGAAAGTTTCTGATTTTTATATAAATAATATATTACTTTTTCAAAATAAATAGATATAAATTTGAATTTATAATAATAAAATTATATTACTATAATATATAATAGGAATATAAGTAACTGTATTATTATAAATTATTTAAAAATTAATAAATTTAATAAATTTTTTTTTATTTTATAGTATAATATTAACTCTAATAGTATTCAGATCTGAGAATTAATTATAAAATAGAATAATATTTTTATATAAAATAAATAAATATAAAATATAAATAAATTAATAATAAATTAATAATCTAAAATATATATAAATTTCACTTAATTAAATAAATTAATAATTTTATATCATGTTTCTAAAGGATTAATTATACTTAATTCAATAATATAATAATAATAAATAATATAATAAATATTAATAAGCAAAATTATAAAGAAATTAAATAATTAAAAACAGAAATAATTTATTTAATAATTATAAAATACATGATAATTATCTATATAATAATATATATTAAATTAAATTAATTTAATAATAATTATTTATAAGTAATATAAAACTAAAATATAATACAGAAAGTACAAAATAAAATTTAAGCTAAAAGAAATATAACTAATTAAAATTATTATATATATTTTTATTTATAGTATAATATTCTTATTATATTTAAGCACATAAATTTTTAAAAATATTAATCTTTTTTATAATATTTTTCAAGTTTTTAAGAAATTTTTAAATAATATTATGAAAAGAATATTTTAGTTATTTAACAAAATATTAGTATTTTATAATAATAAATACTTTTATTAAAATATATTTAGCTTTATATTCTTTATTATTTAGTAATAGTATATTATTATCATAGTAAAATTCTTTAATTCTATAATCTTTTTTTGATTATATAAAACTTCATTTTTCTATAATTTTATAATTTATCATATAATTACTCTTATTTTTATTCAATTATATATTTATTTTACTTATTATATTTATTTTTTATATTTATATTTTTACTTCAAATATTATAGTTTATTTTCTTTTATTTAAGATTTATATTTTTAATTTATCTTATATATATATTTATTTAATATACTTTATAAAATAATTAGTTGAAGATCTCTGTGAAATAATAAAATATTAATATTAGAATATTTATATTTTATGAAATGATAAAATACTAATATTAGAATATTTATATTTTATAAAATAATAAAATACTAATATTAAAATATTTATATTTTGTGAAATAATAAAATTCTAATATTAGAATATTTAAATTTTAGTAGAATAATAAAATATTAATATTATAATATAATATATTATAGATCTTTATAATTAAAATATTTTAAAGTATTAATTTATATATTTAGATAATATTAACTAGTAATACTATAATAATTTATATATTCAAGAAATATATAAAAGAACTTGCTATCTCAGCTTGAAATAAATAGTTTTGAATTGAATTATTTGAAAAATATAATTAAAAAGCTTATTATTATAATAATAATAATATCTTGATTTCTTTTCTAATTATATTAGTACTCTTTCTCTCATTTAATTTTAATTTTTTAATTATATAAAGTTAATTTTGATTTTGAATATAATATTATATTAATTTTGATTTTTAATATTATTTTATATTTTTTAAGTGTAGAAAATCTCCATTATAAATAAGTTATATTCTTTTTATTTTATTTATTTTATTATTTTGAGAATAAAAGATCTCTATTATAAATAAGTTATATATTTTTAATTATTTAGTTTGTTATTTATTTTAGTTTCATTTTTTTTAGTTATAATTTTCTTTAATTAATAGTAGTTTTACTATTTAATCACTTTAAGTCTTGAATTATATTGATTGATAATGACTTTATTGATTAATTTTTATAAGTTCTCTGATTTATTCTTTTATTTTATAAATTATCTCTTTATTAAAATAATATCTGTAAATATTAGTATAGATCTTAGAAATCTTTATCAATATTAAAGTATATAATCTAATTTCTTTTGCTTTCTTTATTATTTAATTCAGTCTTTTCTAACTTAATATTATTAAGATGAATCTAAATAAAACTTACTTACCAGATTTGTTATAATATATTTTTGATGCTTTCTCTATGAAAAAAGACTTTTATATACTTTTTACTATATTTAAATTCCTTTTATATTTCTTTATACTCCTTATTTTTGTTATCTAAATAGTTAATAAATAATTATATCTTGAATTTTCATAATTAATTATTATTCTTTTATTGGATTACCTATTAATTATTATTTATAAGTATATAAAAATTCTAATTATATTATTAAAATACTCTCTCAATATTTTTGTTCTCATTATCACTTTCTTTAATTAGAATCTTCTTTACAATTTTGAATCTTTTATTTACTTATTGAAAATATTAAAGCAGTATTTATAAATCAAATCATTTATTTATTATTTAATAAATTAATTCAACTTAATCTTAATAAAATATATATTATTTAACTTGAATAAAAAATAATATAATTAGTAAATATTTTTATATTTAATCAAATACTTTTTTAAGAAGAATAACTTAATATAATTGATTAATTTTACTAATAATTTATCTATTAAGACTTTACTTTATAATTATAATCAAGAATCTCTTCTAGTACTAATAATATTAATGAATATTATTCTGAAATTAAAAACTCAA